GCTTAATCTATCTAAGCTGTTTTCACATAGTTTGCTCCAGGTCAGATCACGGACTATAAAAATCCAAAGTGAGAATTTTCTTATCCTATAGCAAAAGCTGAAAACAAAACCGATTTAAGCTTTCTAAGTAACCCAAGTGGCCAACAAAATAGCTAGCACAGTTTCTTAGGAACCAGAGATAGAACATCATGCTACTAGTGGTCTGTTGTGTTCATGGAAGTGGAGAATACACTCTGCCTTTCTAGTCTGAATTATCATGAAGTTAGGGTTGAGTTTAGACCCTAAAAATTCCTAATTTTTCTTGAAACTACTTGAAGATCCCCTCAACGTTGGCAGAGTCATGACCAGAATAATTAAATTCACAACTGAGAGGAATTTAAAAATAATAGCGGCTTGGTAAGCTACTCCCTGATCTGAGAAGCCACGTTTATCACTGAAATAAATCCGGGAAGCTTTTTGACATCAGAACCACGTTTTAAAGCTGCTTTACAAGCAAGCAGCATTTATATCCCTGAAGAGCCTGTCTGTGCATGTAACAGTGTGGTTAATGTGTCACAGGGGGGAAGTCTGTGTCTGGATGGCTTTTTCAGAGTGAGCCATGGCTTAGGTATAAATGTGATATATTATCACATTGTGCCAGCAAGAAATAATGACCGGTAGCTTCGGCAACATAGCCAGTGGAAAACAAATGAATAGCAAACATGAATTATTACTTCGCAGCTTTTGCTGCCATTTCTGAAGACGTGTGATTATCTGTTGAGGTGCCTTGACCGCGCTTTATTTTCACAAAAAAAAAAAAAAAAGAATCTCATAAGCGAAGCTATTACTTATCCGTAATGGGAACAATCAAGCGAATAATAAGTCAAGCAGTAGCTGTCAGTTTTAGACAAAGTAATATAGATTTGTACAGACTGAACACTTATGTTTAATCTTAAGCAAGGTTTATGATTCAGTCAGGTGTTTTCAATCAAAAACACTGATTATCGTCAACTTCAATTAACTATGTAAAAGCAAGAGGTTTGTGTTTCTGTTTGATTGGAGCATTCGAGTGTCTGTTACCATGATGATAAAAAGCAAAGACAACAGCAATATTGATTGAAGTTAAAAAAAGAAAATCAGTCAGGAAGGTTTTGGATCCATCATTTCACAGTAAAGACATTATTTGCAAGTGAAAATAAATTCAGTTGTCAGTCATCTTACCAATGTATTTCGCCAAAGTGTTACTGTTTAGTTCAAATTGTATTATATGAACATAAATTGCAAAAGAAAAACCCAACAAAAACAATTATACACATCTAGTCATTCTGGTTTTACTTGGTGCATGAAATGTAAAAGCTACTGACGTTACAATTATAAAGCTAGAACTCAAAGCTGTTATGAAAAGAGTACATTTAAAATTACAATAAGTCGTGATTTAAATGGTCCTTAAGAAGCAACAAAGGTCAAAATTCTCCCACAATTTAGGACAGAAGGCAATTACCTTAAAATCATCATTGCTGCAAGATGTCCTCTAGAGTTTAACAGCTTTTCTACACATTACTTTTCAATTTCAGCTTCGTCATGTTGAGTAAATATTGACTCGGCTTAATAATTTGTTTATCTGAGGTTGTAGACCAAATGATGAGAGGGTGACATTTTATAACATCTCGTGTGTGTCGATGTGTGTTTGTGTGATCAACAGTGACTCACCTGCGAGGTAAGGGCTCAGGAGGACAGTGTGTGAGGGGACTGCTGGCAGTGGGCGGGGCCTCCCTCCGGGTCCTCAGAGACTGGCTCCTCTGGACCTGCCTTAGCACACTACTCTTCAGGTCAAGCAGTGTCGTCATGTTTCACTGGCAAAGACACCAGTGACAAAAATCAGACATCAGCCTAACTAGACATTTATTTTCATTCATTTGTCAGAATTAATACAAAAAATTAGGTAGAGATACTCTCAGTTTTTATGCTTTAACTGAGTAGAGCATGAATAATAACTTTTTTTTAGCTCTCTGTTTAAACTGAGCAACCCCAAGATTCAGGACAATATTAATTTCCACTTTAAGTTCAAAGTATCTTTGAACTTAATATATATATATTAAGTTCAAAGTATATATATTAAATAATATATATATATATATATATATTATTTATATATATCTATATATAAATATATATATATATATATCTATATATATATATATATATATATGTATATATATCAAAATATATATATTAAGTTCAAATATATTAAGTTCAAATATATATATATATATATATATATATATATACATACATATATAACAAGAGACGCTCTAAAGCAATAATTGTTGCCATTTATGTAAAACACATCATTAAAAAAGCAAAGTAAAAATCACCTTAAAAGATGAATTTTGATACGCTCAGATGAGTTAATGGAAAAGCTTTTTGGCAAGTGGTTTGTTTTGAGAAAATGCACAAAAGATAACGGAAATGACATTGTAATCCTATATGTACATAGAAATAATTACTTCTCGTTATTAAAGTATAATTAAAATTAGATTTAATATATCCTGTGCAAACGCAGACTCTAGTGATAATATTTGTGAAACTTTAAGAAGAACACTTGTTAACTTTGAGCATCACTCACTATTGAGTCTAACAAGTTAAACTTCACACCATTACCAGAGGGGCATTTATCTTTTCTAAAAGTTCAGATTGTTTTAAGTGAATATCTTGAGTTATTATGCAAAACCATAACTTTTGAAAGTATGTGTTTGAACAAAACCTAACCCTCTTAACTGTGCACATGTTGACTACAGATATCGGATTTGGGTGACAAAAGATAAAGATAACTTCTATTATAAACACAGGTAAAACATATATTTAGAGAAAAAAATATAATATATATAATTACTTTATATCTTATTTATCAACATATGTGAAATTCTTTTTCTCTCTTTTTCAAATGTCATCCAATCATTGCAGAGAAAGTTATTCTTGGGTTATCGTGACAGCAACATGAGCCTACTAGGCGACCTCAGAGAGATTGGCAATGTGTTACTAAGCAATTCTCAGAGACGGAGTTGGCGTACTCGGAACCACTTGCCACAAAGTGAATTTTCATTTTGGCTTCCTGGAGTCCTCTAAGCATGTCTAAATCATATGACCTCACAGTCCCTACTCTACACAGAGGAATGGAACAAACTGTTCTTCGCAGAGATGTTTTATACAACAGAATAGTCGTATTTTGTTGTTTTCAGAACCACAGTTCTGAACATAGTTGTTTTCAGAGACAGAATATGCCGCTCTACACAGAACAGGGACTGTGAGCAAACAAAAATGAGGTTCATTTTGATTGCAGTTCCTCCTTATGACCTTTTTTTGCAAGACTTCAGGGAAGGACTTTAATTTGAGAGCAGCTTTCACTTTTATTATCAGTTAATTCTTTTAATCATACCAGAAATAGCATGTTCATATCAAGCAGATATGAGAATATCAAGCCATCAAGTTTGAGTTTAAGTTCAAGCGCACCCAAGTTAAACAGCAGGAAGATTTATCCAAACGACACATCTACCTCTGACTGTCTCAAAAAAAAAAAAAAAAAAAAACAAGAGACCTTGTCGAAGTCTGGAATTAAATCAGATTCAAATTCTGTTATATTTGAGTTGGATGGCTATTCCTTTAGTAAATGAAATCATCATTTGAACACTACACTTTGGTTTCACTCAATATATCTTTGTCTGATATCAAAACATGTTTGATGATCTGTCACATTTTAGCGGGACAGAAAAGGAAAAAAAAAAAAAAAAGACGAAAGCTGCGAGTGGGCAAATACGTTTTAACAGCCCTATTAACAAGCACCACCTGCTTAACTCTGCATCTTTTTTTGTCTTTTTAAACTCCAACAGTTGCGAGCAGCAGGGGAAAAAAAAACAGGGGAAACAAAACACGCACACAAAAAAACATGCAACAAAGACTAAACAGAGACGGGAGTTGATTGATGGAGTAGTTGTTTTCAGAGACAGCCAGACACACTCAGGCTTGCAGTCAGTTACTCTTTTCAACAGATGACAGCTTAAGTCTTCGCGTCAATGTGAAAATGATGCCATGAAGCATTGTCAGTGGCTTTGAGGACAATTAGCCTGGTGTGCTTGTAGGAAGAGGGTACTTGTTGTTGTGGTCCATATTAGAGGCGACGCTAATTCATTTTTCTCCCTTGGTTTTGAATGGCACAGTTTAGGTTTGCCTATTTCATAGCATAGTGCTTACACCAAATGGATCCAGCAAATGAAACATGTTGGCCTCTTTGAGTGTAATCATTTGGAGCCCTGAGCCAACAGAATGGAAAGCAGAATGCGCTCGGAGTTCTGGCTCGGAGAAAGTCCAAAATTCATGGTACAAGATGCACCACTGTCTGAGCCAAAAGACAGTCTGCTGTCTAGCTAGGAGGCTGACATGCATACAGTAAGTTACTATGAGATCTCAGGTTTTAGTTCTTCTCTATTGACAATACCAGTGTGTTGTTCACTATGAACATCTGAGAAAAACTGGAGATCTTCAAATTATACTTTATATAACCTTTTCTATGATGGCCGTGACTTGGAGTAACACATAGTGGCTGTTTAAAAGTGTAAATGACAAAATCATTGTTAGAGAAAATAAGATTGCTGAAACCTCTCTTGACTTCCTTGATGACACAATAAATCTCTGAGAACTCAGATATAATGAGTTGCTGGGCCTTTGTATGCAGGAGCATACATATTGAAAGAAGTTCAAGAAAATTTTAGACATTTATGGAAAAGAAAATAAGAAATGTTTTACTTTGTACATTTTACACCTGCAACTGTGGCTTTTTATTAAAATAACTATATTTCTGGTAATTTCATCATGTTGTCACTTCCGTCAAGTTCAAAGCAAACCCACTGAAGGTCACAAAAACTTAGATTTCCGATGGATTTAAATCTGGATATTTCTTGTATTTCAATAGCAGGTTTCTCATCCAAGTCTGATAATGTCCAAAGAAAAATAAAATTATTTGTTAAAGTCTATATATATATATATATATTAAAGATACAATACAATGTATAATTTGCTCACTCCAGGCCATGATTCCCTGACTTAATTAATGTCATCAACTAGTGTGTATGCGTGTCTGTGGGGGTGTGCATGTTTCATCAGTTGAGTTCAGCTTCAGTCATTGGCTGGCTCTGTCTCCTCTAACATTTACTTCATTTCCCTGTGGGACCATTAAAGCATTTTAGAATTTGAATTTCAACACAAACGGTTTAAAACCAACCAGCATAAATGCCCTGCATGAGATGCTTAAGAGAAGGTCTCATGGGTTGCTGATGAGTCACAAAGACAAAACAAAATAACTAAACATTAGTTATTTTTAAAGCTGCCGATTGCTCCCTGAGCTTATGCAAGTTGTCTGAATGCTACATTTTGAAGCTGATTGTATATATATATATATTTTTTTTTTTGTGCAGGGTCACCTTTATTCCTCTGCATAATGAAAAATAAAGTCATTTCTAAATATGGAAAAATATCGATGAAAAAACATAGCACAGGAATGGCGTATTTCACTAGCAGACTTTGTCTGCTCTCAAGCAAAACAGGTGGATAGTTCTGACAAAGAACCAATATAGACATCAATCCATACATTGATTTTCTGCACAAGATTAATCCTTGCAGGTTCGTGGGGGGCGGGCTGGTACCTATGTCCATCAGTCAATGGATGGGGAGTTGGATACAGCCTGGCCAGGTCGCCAATCCAATACAGGGCAAAACAGAGACCATGGCCAAGACACACTTTTTGGCAATTCACAGTGGTCAATTAACCAAATATGCTTACATTAATAGGGAGGAAGACAGTGGAATATTCCATAAGTGTGGAGTATCCAGAGAAAACCCATGTACACAGCAGGGAAAGACAAAAAACTACATACAAAAATCCCCACATAGGGATTCAAACCTTATTGGTAAAGCAACATTGCTTAAATGTTTCATCTTCTCTCTAATCGTACATAAAGTTTGTGTCTGGTTGGCTTTGAGCCAAGGAAAATTTGGCTTCAGTGCATAATGTGGAGCTGAGTTTAGGTTTGTTGATCATGTCATGATGCACCAAAAGCTTGAAAAGTTACAATTTGAAAAACACAAAAAAGAAAAAAAAAAAACATCTTCATCCAACTATTTCTATGATTTACAGTTCTTTTGAGGAGATGAAAGACAAAAATGCTGGAGAGATTGGTGTTTTCCTTTGCTATATATGGAACCACCAGTGAGCTGGCTGAAAGAAGGGTGTTATATTTTTTCTCATACTAACAGAAAAAAACAGATTTTTCTTTTAGGAAATGTTTCCAGTCTGAAAAATACTGAATGATCACTCTTCTCAAACTAACACTTTAAGAACTACAGTTTTCAGTCTACAAGCAGTTAAGTGGATACTTAAGCCATAGCACTCTTTTATGCAGTTTTGTTTTAAAGTTTTAAGTTAATGCCAAGATGCAGTTAAATTGTCATCAAATTATCATAATGTCCAATGCTTGAAGCACACCTTGAAGATTAGTGAAGCATCTGTGCAAGATTTTGACACCAAGCAAAACTAAATGTCAGAGGGAGAAAAAGAACAAGAAAAAAGTATTCTCATTGGATGTCAAGAGTGAAAATCAGAGAGATGTTTTTTATATTGCAGAACTGGCAACAAAGAAAAAACAGCTGTTTGTTAGTGTTGAAAAGAGCTTCTGCACATACACAAATCTTGTTCTCGGGTGAGCTTGCTTCTTCTTAAGAGGCATCAAACCATATTCTGTTGGCACAATGAGCCAGGATGAAAGGCTGCTGCATTGTGCCAACTCCACAATTACTCCTTTATGGCGCACGGAAACCAGCTAGAATGTGCAAACTAAGATAATATACAGTGGCAAAAAAGAAGAGAAGAAGATAAGAAACTATTAGTCTTACTAGTCTTACTTGAGATTGTAAAGTCAAAATCAAAAGTGTCATTTAAAATATTCGCAAAAACTTTTAGGAATCCATGCTTCTACTCATCAAAGTCCCGCATGGGAGAATAAGCACCACCACCTTCAAGCTGTGCTGCGGCTATATTTATGTGGATTTTGTCACTGCAGGTGAGCAACTGTTCAATGTTTCATGCTCCATCGAGTGACTCCTATTTACCAGCTCTCTGCTCTTTTCATCACATATCTAAATGCCATGCACCCGGAATACCTGAGGCATGTTTGCTGCGAGCGCTGAGCAGCGAGAACGCTTCCCAACTTTTAAACAATGGTGTCACGGGCCGAGTGATAACTGCTCAGCGCTTCTCATATCACTTCCACATGCACGGACTGCGACAGCTTCCAGGCACGGCGCTGCAGCTGTCTCCCAGGTGAATTCATTTCAATTACAGGGGTGGATTTCTCCCAGCTGGATTTCACACGGTCTCGGTCGTCAACGCAAAGTGACAAAACGGGGCGACGTGCCGCCTCGGTCGGGCCGCGGGCTTCCAGGGAAACACTGTCAAAGCTAAGTAAATGCCTTTCTCGCTACATTGGTGCCGAAGTCAAACCAGGGAGGGCACTAGCCTACCGGACTCGCTCCTGCAAGAGAGCCGATGAGCCCTGCAACCAAAGTCGACTTGCTGATGGGGATGGAGTGTCTCTATGGTAACAGTAGAGGGAAAGGAGCCGGTAAATACAGGTAAATGGAATTCTGTGAAGGATGAAAAAACAACCCCTTTATGTCATAATGTGTTTATCCAAACGCACACTTCATAAATAACAAGTTTAATGATGCCTGGTTCAACAGACAAAAAGATCAAATGATTTGAAAGGTGCAGAGTTTTTTTTTTTTTTTTTTTTTTTTTTTTTATGAGCACCCAGGCACTCCTGAGAATATTTCAGAATAATTCATACACCTAAGGTATTCACTGTTTACGCTTTCATATAACATCTAAAGACGCAGAAATAATAAAGATCGTCATTGAAATGTGCTCTACATCCATTTGTTAACATCAGCTTCATGCAGGCACACGTGTCCTTGTGTGAGTCTTAATAGCTTAAATCAATATGAATACCAGGTAGAAGATCATTTAATACATTCCTTTGAGCCTCCACAAGAAAAGGATACAGACAGCTTATGTAATTGAATGTAGCAACACTTTCACTTAGGACCTTAATATTTCTCAAGACCTTGTTTCACACACCAGCCAGAGGGGATACAGATTCAAATCATATCATAACCTTGAGGATATTATTCTGTACTGCTACTGATGTTTCCTGATGAGGTTTAAGATAGAGCAAAAAGCTTTATCAATGACCACTAATGTTATTATGCGGCAGGCCCTTAGGGACTCATAGGCTAAACGGATCACAGTGTCAGGTCTTCGTCGAACCCTTAATAAGCTTTCCAAATGGAGGAACGGAGGGATGTAAAAAACAGAGCAGACATGACTGGGATCGTTAACTGCAACCACCTGTGGATAACACATAATCCATAACCAGCTAAAAAAGCACAACACCGGTCTATTGCAAGCAGCTTACGCTGTTAAGACACATGACAGGCACTTTGGCTTCAGAATTGATTGCCAGAGAATATTCCACGAATTGATGGCTGTGTGCCTTTGTAAAAAGCCTCTGCTGCACAGCCAAGCAGCAAAAATCACTGACAGTTGCACACAAAAAAATGCTCAACTAGTACAATGGCTCAAAGTCTTGCTTATTATACCCCAATAATACACTCTTTTGTCAGCTTGATAACACTCCAAAACTACCTCTCCAGTCAGAAATAGCAGACATTGAGTTTTTCTGCAATAAAGCCACCTCCATAGTTTACACAAAAACATTAATTTGCATCCACCAGACACTGTGCCACATTAAGAAGAATGTGATGAAGTCATACTACTGTTCAACAGGCTGTAATTACAGCCTGAACAAAGCAACTCAGTTGTACTGCATTACTATAACCCCCCCACTATTTTTTTTTTTTTGTCATGACTCAACACATGTAGGGAAGCTGTGGTTTTAAGTAATGATTTTTGAGCTACAAGCACACATTCGCTCTGTAATAATAATAATAATGATTAATTAGCAAGGACGCACAGATCAGCCTGAAGTGAGGCTATGACCTGCGCCAGCCTGCTTCTGAAGAAAATCAGCTGAGAGTTGTGCTGAAGGACACATCATGAACCACAGAAGATTTCTGCAAAACACAGACATTCGTGATGACTACGCTCCGCAGAGTTGAATCTGTATTGTCCTGTATTCAGCTGACGAATAATGAAACCTAATAGTTTTTATTGCCCTTTTAATCAGGTGGGCATGTAATTATTGTCAATACAGGCAGCACAGGTAAATTGAAAGCACTGAACTGCTGGGGCTGTCTCTGGGGTAAGACAGTTGGAGCTGTGATCTCTGTGAGTGTGTGTGCCTGTGTGTGTAATATAGAGAGAGAGTGAGAGAGACCTCCACAGGATTCTCCACAGCACTGCTTCTGAAACGAGCCATCAAGTGCATCAGTCAACTCAGGATGTCTTCAGTCTGTAACCATATCTTCACCTCTTCACTTAACCATATTTATTGTTTTCCTAATTAGTTTTTTTTTCCTTATGTTGGCATAATTTCCCTTTTTTTTTATTATTTGTGTCAATCTTGAGTCTGAGTCAATCCTTGCCAGCTGATTAGGTTTCCATGGGTAGGACCTTCTTGTTTAACATACAGGGAACTTCTGCTTATATTTCAGTCATAAAGAACATACATTATTTTTCTTAACACAAAACGTCTGACAGGTCAAATTCCTTTGTAAGAAATCGTTATCCTCGACATAGTCCCTTATATTATTTTACTGTTACTGGTACATTAATAGAACTTTATTCTTTCAAGAATGACTGATTTGAAATTATCTGGAACTTAATTCAAATCAACAGGTGCCACGTTCAGGGTCACATTTCGCAATTAAGGAATCATAAGAGCAACTAGTGCATAATCTAGCTTGATCAACAATGTTTATATTTTTTCATAAGTAAAAATTATATAAATATATATCTTACCTGCGTCTCTTGACAGTTTTTCCAGTGTGGTATATATATATATATTTTTTTTCTTTTGCAAAGGTTGCGTGTGTCAGAGTTCTTACAATCAAAGCTCTGATCGGTGCAGCAGGACGTCGCTCCTTGCTGTGAACGTGACGCAGTCAACTTATGAGAAAACAACGTTTGGGTCTTTTTCCTCAGATAGACGACAGACAAAAGCTCTTATTAGTCTCTCGAAATGCTTCCCCTCCGCTCCCCCGATGCCAACCCAAATATGGCCATAGGAAGTCGAGCGATACTTCACGGACCCTGTCTACTGTCAGAAATATACAATTTGGCCAGAAACGTGTTCCCGCCATCAGCCTACAATTTGGTGAAAAAATAAAAATAAATAAATAATAGAACGCTTTTGAGAGACAAGTCAAGTCGGGAAGAATTGAGATGAGTTTTTTTTTTTTATAATCTTGAAGCCAAAGCTATTCATGAAAACGCTAATTTGTTTAAGCACGCAATCCTAATTGTATCAGGTTGGAAATGAGGAAATGTATGAAATTCTCAGGGTATGACAAGCACTATTTCAGATTTAATTTAACTCCAGCTAGCATGTAACATTTATTATTTGAGTTACAATAACGTTATTTGTTCTGATTTAGTAAATAAATAAGTAAACATTTTTTGTAGAGCACTTTTTATAGAAAAAAACAAATCCAAAGTGCTTTACAGAGATACAGCTGAGTCTTAAAGACAGTAAAAATAATTGATAAAAACAATACGCATATTTAACTTAAACTAGTTGCTCAGTTGTAGGAGCCTTTTTTGAGTTAGGTGGGGGGGAAAGGAGGCAGCACTGTGCACCATACAGCTGGAAAAAAAATAATAATCATTTTGAAAGTACAATGTTTTCAAACCTTGGTATCCTTAATTATACATGCATATTTCCACGAAAGGCTGTAGATCAGAGAATTTCTATTCTTTCAGCGACTCAACACAGTGGCAATAATAGACTTCATTGTTTCTCTTTGGGATAATGTACATTAATTTGATATAAATAGTTTGGTTTCCAAATGTAAAGAGATTACTTTATTTTTTCTCTTTAGGAAATTGTAAATCAAACACATATTTTCTGTTTTTAAAATAAGTTCAAGTTTTGCTTAATTGTAAAATAAATGTACTTTTTTTTTAAATTCACTGAATATGCGTTCATTTTTTGACGTGTGGATAAGTTATTAAGTAAATGTTTACAGAATGTCCGTGAACGCATCATTTGACTGTTGCTGAGGGGATGTCGCCGAGAAAAATCCTCTCTTAGGCAGAGAGGAGCAAGTTCAGCTGTCAATCAACACGTGATTCATGGGTGTTTCCTTTCTTTAGCTTAATTAGCTCGAACAGCAGATGAGAAATTAAACAAAGCCAGGAGTTAATGATGATGCATGACAGAGATACAACATAGCAAATACACAAAGTCTATTTAATGTCTAAGAGTGAGAGCAGCAAACAATATTGTATTTTTAAATAATTGTCAATATAAAGAAGATAACTTCTGGAAGCAAAGGTCAGGGGTTAGAGTTATGAACTTAGTAAACAACTTGCTGTAAAACCAAACTTTAAGTGATCACTTTAAATTAAACCAAATACTGATATGCAGCTAACATTTCAAACCAGAATTATAAAAAAAACCCAACAATTTCATGATTTCTTTTGTTTATTTCTGATTCAAAGCTCACGATGATACCTGTTTGCGTATGTTGTTCCTTAATTTTCATTAAAAGCTGGCATATGTGCAATCAAGTTAGATCTGCGTAACACCAGGTCTTTTCTCACTCTTTAGTTTACAACGACAGAAGGACATGCAAGTATATTCTTTAAATAGGCACACAAGCATATCCCTGCAGGTTACAGCCTCTCTTTAAAAAAGATTTCCCACATGGCCACTATCACAGAGGGTGCAGGCGTGCCTCGACACATAGTGTAGAAAGGAGTAATTCAGTTTTAGTCACAAAGTAAAAACTCCTACTACAGCCTAATTAGAGTTTATTGGAATATCACATATCAAAGAGGTCAAATAAAGCAAGTTTTAAAGTATTAATTTTCCTTCTTGTAAATTATTTAAAATGTTTTTCATCAGTGAAAAACACTGATGAAGTCTTTGGACACAATATATGCCGTTTTTGTAAATAAACTCTCCAAACGTCAGATTAATTAAAGCCTCTTCTCAATTCTTTGTCAGGAATTCATTGGTTTTGAAGGACACGAAAGTTGGTTCAGGATTCCAAAACGATGTATTCACTGAGTGCCTCCATGCTTAAAGGTGGTACTAATTGATATTTAGGTTGTTTACGACTGAATGGTTTGTTGAGGGTCGGTAAATGAATCATTTTTTTTGCCCTCTCTTACAAAATGCCTGTATATGGAGGGGTGTAAAATCAAATCAATCAATCTGAGAGAGGTGTTAAGTAAATAATCCAAAAAGGTTTTATCAGAGGCTTTGTTAAGCACATTAAGGAGGAGAAACACAAATGTGGACTCGTGCTTGACTTTGAAATGTCTTGGCATTATTGTAAGATCCAAGATAAAGTATAGAGCTTTTCCTGTGCTGAGTGATGATAAGACACATGTGGCCATGTTCCTTGTTTCCATGGACACATCATTAGAGAACTTCTCCAGCTGGTTTCAACTACTTGAAGTGTTGACGGCAAATAGCAAGTGAAGGATTTGGTCATAACCAGGGCAAAAGGAAAAGTGACTTCCTATGTCCCGCACTCAGACAGATATTAAGCTATATTGGATCAATATTTTCTCATAGGTGATTATTTTGTTTATTTATTTATTTTTCATCACATCTATTCTTGGGTTTTTCTCTTAGGCTTGAATGTGCAAGTCTATTTTTTGTGCTTATCTCCGTCTTAACAAAACAACCTTTTTATTAGAAGTTTCAAACCAAAGTTTTGCATTAATTAATTCAAGTACCCACCGAAATCCCCCAACAGAATACATTAGCGTTGACCTCGGAAAAAAAAAAAACAATGCTGATCACGTCAGTCTGTGTCAAACAAATTTAACATTGGAAAAATTCAGTCTCATGCCCTCATTATGTTATGCTGTTAATTTGATTCCTGTAATTCTGAAATATATCATAAAGCCCAACCTCCCAAGTTTCTAGGTTAATTTCACACAACTCATAGGTAGAGTTCAGGACAAAAGCTCAGTTCAGTTGAGAGGATTGTACTTCTGTATTACTGTGAAGAAGAAGAAAAAAAGCAAGAAACACAATTAAACAATTATCTGTAACAGTAACGTAAGTCATAATTGTGCAACCATAAATGTAACTACCAGAGTAATGAAAAAATTAACATGCTTGTTAATGAAGAACTTAAACAATGACAATTTCATTTTTATTCCATGCGTTTATGTGCAACAGACTCTCAACCATCTTTTTGTTTTTGCGTGCTTCTTGCGCCCCCCTCAGGGAGACAAAGAGATTGAAGAAGCATTCACCAGTTATTTTTCTGTTTCTGTCTTCATTGGCAATATTGGATCAAGAATGTGAAAAGCCTCAATGTTATTCAGCGCAATATCTAGTATGACACAGAAGAAGGTGATTTTAATATTATTATTGTTTAATGAATGGGAATTGAAAATTGATTTGCAAGCACCAAGACAACTAAATGCATATTTATGTGACTTAAAAAATAAATAGTTTAACAATACTACTATTACTACTACTACTACTACTACTACTACTAATAATAATAATAATAATATTAATAATAATTTGCTAAAATCCCATAATATGGGATATAATATCCAATACATACATATTGAATCTATAACTTTCAAATGTGTTGTATTAAAATAATATATTTTGTAATTTTAATTTCATAATTATTATCATTCTTCTTGTTGTTGTTACTTGGATCATTTTTATTATTTCAGTCTTTAAAATACCACCATTTGCACATAATGTCATGTTTTTGTCTATCTTATGACAGTGTAAAATGTCAAAACACATGTTTTATAATCATTTAGTACTCATGTAGCATTTTCATGAAATACTTATACTCTTAGTAATTTTTTGGACGGCTAGTTTATACCTTTACTTCAGTTAAAACATGTTGAAGCAGTGCTAATGTTACTTGAGCACAATTTCTGGGTACGCCACAAACCTCTGCTCTGGCTCTAAACAATGCCAAATGAGAAGCAAATCATAAAAACTAAACAGCAATTCAGTAAGTCTCCCTCCTGTCCAGTGCGTGGTGCTGTAAAGCAGTTGTAAACTGTGACTTACGCATCTCACATGAAGAAGAAGTAAATCAAGCCTTTCCAGTCTGGCCCGAATGTGTCTCCAAATGAACCTAAAATGTGAGGCTACTCAGTTTCAGCACGGTGTCTGACTTAGCTGCATGCCATGGCGGGATATCCGTTCCGACTGGACCAAAATATCTCGACCGAAACAGACTGTCACCGTTTCAGGTGTTCGTGTTGTTATTGGAGCTAGCATTAGCCTTGGCTAAATTAGCTAAGGCTGCTGTTATTTTATACTTCAGCATAACTGATTCATCGCTGCAGGGCAGAGAGCCGCAAAAACAAGGTAACTCCGTTGCAAGTTGCACCATTCCATAATAACCGGGCTAATATCTGGATATTATTCTGTTAATTATCGCAGTCCTTTGTAATTGTTTTATACATTAAAAAAAAAAGCAATTAACTGCTGTGCGAGTTTTAGGGAGACACATCTCAGGCAAAATGTCCCGTGTATCAACGGTTAAGGTTAGCTAACAGACTCGGAGTTGTCCCAATACTAGCTGTTTGGAGATGTAGCAGCAGGCAGCCAGTGAGCTGACCCTGGTTCAGCACAGCCCGTCTGTCAGAAGGCAAAAGGGAAATCATGTCCTGCAAAGCCGCAACCAAGGACAAGAAGTCGAGCTTCAGCAAGAAGCTGTTCAGGCGAGGCTCTGTGCGCTCCGTGGGCAGCTTTATGAGCAAAGTCCTCCGGACTCTGACAGCCTTATCACACTTTGGATCTGAAGTACAAACCGACGACGACAAGGACGATGGAGGATTCTCCGCGTTCAAATCTGGGAGTAAAGATGTTCCCATGGAGGATGGGGACTTTGGTGGGTTCCTGTCCGGAGATAGAGTTCCCGGAGTGTCCGGTCTGAAGAACCACGGTAATACCTGCTTCATGAATGCAATCCTGCAGTGCCTGAGTAACACGGAACTCTTCGCCGAGTACCTCGTTTTGGAGCACTACAAAGGCGAGGAGTTGGAGGAGGATAAGCCCAAAACAAACGGCGTGCATCTGCAGAAAAAAGGTCCTCTGGGCAAAGGAGAAGTGACCGAGCAGCTGTCCGGACTGGTGCGGGCTTTATGGACGTTTGAGTACACACCTCAGCATAGCAGGGACTTCAAGGTAAGAACCAAAACAACACAGTTTGAATGGACATTAATGTTGATTTCTCATATTACAATGTTTCCAATTCTCTGTCACCTTTAGCATCTTGGCACTGATTTGATGTGAATATATGCTAAACTGAGGCTTCATCAAACAGACAAAACACACTGTTGGGTAGAGATGGATGCACTGATCAGGCTTTTTTTTTTTCTTTTTTTTGGGCCAATACTTTGTGCCAATTTTGTTTTTGAGTCTTATCTGTTGATTCTGATTACTTAGAAAAAATAACCAGTCTTTAAAGATAAATGCTATTTTTTTTTTTCTGACTGGTTAGTCATTTTATTTCAGTAAAAATGTCTCTAGCCTTTGAGGAATTTGTATTCATCTAGAAAATGTGAATTAAAGTTGATGCCATTGAAAATTGTGGTAATTTTCAGCTTTATTCTTTGGATAAATAATAGAAAGAAAATCCAGTTTATTATTTCATCAAATGATCACCTGTCAGAGCTGATGGCAGAAAATGTCCAATGTCTGTTTCGTTGGTTGATGCTGCACTATTTATCAGCATGCAAATTATTAATTCCACACACTTAGGGTTTATTTGTCAGGAAATTTTGCATTCTAAGCCAAAATTTGCTATAATATTATTGCACATTTTAATTTTAAGATGAGGAAATATTTACAACATATTTTGTAGCCCTTGTGTTTATCTAAAATAAGGCTGGAAGACACATGTAACAGAGATAAAATCATAGGCAAAATGAATGTTTTAGAGCTTTTGTCAGTTTTTTGTATTGTTGGATTTTGTTGTTTGTTGCAGAATGCTGTGTCAAAAAATGCCACACAGTTTAAAGGGAACGCTCAGCACGATGCTCAAGAGTTTCTGCTGTGGTTGCTGGACAGAGTACATGAGGATCTCAACACCGTCAACCCAAACACCAGGCCTGCTATTAAGGTGAATTGTGAAGCTATCAGAAGGATAACAAGTTGCAGGACGTCCTGTAATTTAAGTGAGAAATCTGAGACTTCCCTTTTGATCTCTGAGCCATCAGATTATATATGTTTTTTCCCCATCACATTGTTTCTTATTTAATTTTGCTCATCAAATTAAAATGTAGTCGGACCAAATTAGACTCGCCTGACCTTGTGCTTCCACTTGAATCTAGTTATATAAATTGCATCTCAAGGCATCATTTGCACCTCACTGACGAGTGTAATTATGACCAATCAGGTTAATAAATCATCTCGTCTCATTAGCCTCCCATTGAAGAAGATGACCAGAGCATAGAGGGGCCCTCTCCTCCTCTCTCTGCTGGGTCGTTCGTGCAGGAGCTGTTCCAGGCTCAGTACAGGTAGGCTTAATTCATTTAGAGTCTTCTAACACTATCTGTTGATCACATTAAGAGATTTATTCCCCCCCTCCCTCCCCTTACAGGTCTTCCCTTACGTGCCCGCATTGCCAAAAGCAGAGCAACACCTTTGACCCCTTCCTTTGCATCTCCTTACCAATCCCTCTGCCACACACACGGTGAGTTCCTCTTTAAAGCTCTGGTTGTGGATCAGCAGGGAGGAACCAGTTTCTAGAGCTCTGCTTACGGGTCCCTACATGTTCCTAACTATTGCCACTTAACGTGGCTGTGTTTTCTTCTTTGAAACTGCACACACCTAAATACACTGCATGCAGTCTCTAAAGCACTGCCACTTTTGACGATAGGTCAAACACAGTGTTTGTGCATGCAGGTGTGTGTGTTTTGAGAAGCTTACAAGGGTGTGACAATAATGGAAGTGTTGGAGTGTGTGTGTGTGTGTGTGTGTGTGTGTGTGTGTGTGGGTGTGTGGCGGTGGAGGGAAGGAAGGAAACCTGTTTTGACAGGAGGGCCGTCAGGCTAAAGGTGCAGGAGCATCAAACGGGTTGAGAAGGAGCATGTGCTCCAGTTTTTAAACAAAAACAATTACGTGTGAGCCCAGAGGGAGGAGAGAGAAGAAGAAAAACAAAAACTACTGTAGCATGTTGTTATGTTGTAGATCAGCAAGTTTAACCTGTAAGCATTTCATCTTTTCTCTTTGGTAGTACAGGATGAATGAGTTTGCTGTGGGAGAGGGGGGGGGGCTCCCACTTGTCCCAAATTCCAGATTCTTGTCTTTGGTAGGAGTGAAGAAGTGACAAATGTTTAAATGAGAGCAAATTTTACCTTCTTAAAAACAGAGAAAACAAGAATGTGTTGAAGGACTTGGCCTTGCAAGGATCAAAAATCTTGTTGACTGGAAAGAAACATTACTGTTGAGCGTATCAAACGTCTTCTCTTGAATGTGCAGTTATTAATGCAAACTATGATTATTTTTGTTGGAATAATTCAGAAACGATGCGGTTTCTGCATTAGTAAAGGATAAACTACTAATTTATTGAGTCAGAATGTCAGTCACTCTGTGATACTTCATTTTAAAGTGTCAAACTTTTTTTTTTTTTTTTTTTCTTAACACCTGGAAGAACTGGGCATTTCCAAATCGATATACATAAAACAATATTTTTTACTTTTTTTTTTTTTTCTTTCATCAGGCCCTTGTATGTGACTGTGGTCTACCAGGGGAAGTACTCTCACTGCATGAGGATCGGAGTTGCTGTTCCTCTCAAAAGTACCGTCTATCGCCTCAGAGACGCCGTGTCACGTGAAATCAAGATCCCAATGGACCAGGTGCTATTCCTGTCTCTGTTCAGGGTCTGACACTGAAAGGCTGTGTTACAGGCACAAGGTGTCGGCTCAGTCAGTGTTTGTTGAACCTGTTCCACCTTCCAGTCAGATAGTAATTTGTAAATGGAGCTAGTTTTCCCTGAAGCGTGCGTCGAAATTGAAGTTAGCTGTCAGCAGAAGCATTATGTCAGCTTTCCTTTTTCCTTTCATGCAGTTTGTTCTGACTGAAATGTATTACGATGGCTTCCACCGCTCGTTTTGCGACGATGACGACGATCTTGACATCATCCAAGAGAGCGATTCCATCTTTGCCTTTGAGACACCAGAGACCTTCAAATTAGAAAACCTACGCACAAAAAGAGGTAAGCTGGAAACAATTTTCAAAAATGGTTCGGTACTGTGTTGTTGTTGTTTTTCTGCGTATAATAAACGATGCAGACACAGAAACATCAGTGTGCCTTTTTTTTTTTTTTTTTTTTTTTGTCACAGGAAGCCTTCTGGCAAATTTAAATCACAACAATTTAAAGTATGGGACAGAAATCAGCAGGACTCCATCCTTCATGCAGGGGGCAATGACTCCTGTAACTGGATCTCCAAATAAAAACGTAGGGCCAGAAAAGGTTATTCTCCTGGTGTGTAACAGAGCGTGCACTGGCCACCAGGCAAAAAGGTACGGCTATGAAATATGTCAGCGCTTGTAATTTTGGTGAAGTGTCTTCCCATTTAATGACAGCTTTATAATATGTCTTATTAGATTTGGCCTGCCTTTTGTACTGTACATGGAGCGCACTGTGACTTGGGATGCTCTACAAAAAGAGATCCTGGAGAAAATGCGACATCTTTTGAGGCCTGGGGTCTACATTCAGGTCGGGAGATTTTACATTACTGCCCGTTACATTGTGCGTAATCTAATTGAAATATTTTGTCTATGAATTGACTCGTTTTTTTACCAGCAGTGAGATCACAAAGAGCAATATAAAGAAAGTAGAACATCTATTACTTTATTGTTTAGGTTGGGCCTTTCAGTCTTCGGGTGGTTGGCGTCGTTGGTATTACCTACCTCCTTCCTCAAGATGAGAGACCACTGTGTCACCCAACGGTTGAAAGGTCAGTTCGTGTAGTTAATGTCATGTTTCCTAAACTTTTATAGATTGGACCTGTGACATCAAGTGTTATTTTCACATATAAATTAAGCCTGATTTGGATTCTCTGGGATGCATCTTCTTGTAGTTCATTCGGTCGTAGAAATACGCCTTCCAAAAAATAATTATAGCATATATGAAAATTGAGATAAATAGAATATGCCAATCTACTCTAGATTTGCTTCTACTCATGTTCTCCTTTAGTTTTATTGCTTTTACATATTGGGTTAAGTTATGTTGAAGCAGGAATTTGAGTGTTGAGATTCTAGTTTAGCTTGTTTTGTTAACCCACTGGATTTTGCATTAATGAACCAGTGAAGCGTGTCACTCTTGTGTAGTAATCCTTTATGTATTGTTGCTGTTACACCGTTTGATCTTTAAGTGACATATAGTGAATGAAAGGACATTTGGTTCTAACAATTCTTGACACTGGCTTCACATAACAAAAATATTAATAATATTTTATTGTTAGTATGTAGCTGTAGCAATTCAGTTTTTTACAATTGAATAAGTTTAAAGTTCAGATCTGACACTTTTACAGCTATTTATTTCTAATCAATAAAAATGCTGAAGGACAACTAAACATAAAATGACATAGTTTAAGGACTTAAGCACAAAATGGTTTTGTACAGGAACGAGTCAGAGAACGAAATGTGTGAAATGGGAGTCTGAATTGTAAAAAAAAAAAAAAAATGCCACTGACTTTTTTTTCTTTTTTATTGCAGAGCGTACAAGTCCTGTGGACAAGGGGGACCTCCACATGTGAAGATTGTGGTCGAGTGGGACAAGGAAACCAAGGACTAGTGAGTTAAAACACAGTTGAATTAAAGTTAATGCTGACTACTAAACGGCATAAAAAGAGAGATTCTGTAATGCACTATTTAGAAATGTTAAAAAGATTGTATTATTTAAATCGAAAACCTTCGGCCAGTGAATAACATCTCCTGTAGTGCAGAAGATTTTGCAGGTCAACAACAATTTATAAAAGTCACGGAGACCTAATCTGACAACTTTGATCAGAATTTCTGACAATGTTTTTGCTTTCAAAAGAACCTCAAACCAGACTCAGACTTTTTTTGAGCTCTTTGAAAGCTTCTACTTTGGTACTGCCTTTCACAATTGTCTGATTTTGAAAAAATAAACCAGATTTTTCTTTGAACTGATGCTTTGCAGTTGGAAAAAGCTTTCTTTTAACTAAACACCAGCGATGAAGTCCTCCTACCCAATCAGATGAATAAGCTTTTTTATGTCATGCCAGCCAAACTATCCTGGATCATCAGTTCACATGCCTCTTCTTGTCCGACTCAGTCACTATCTTTTACATTTCTCTGGATCGGGATTCTTTTGTGGGCAGTCGTTAAATTTAGTTCTAGAAGAGTCCTCTGAGTTGTTTTTATCTGGTCATTTTGAGGAAGTGATAAACTCAAACTGATTACTGCCACAGTTATTGGTGTTAACCTGCAATACAGTGTCAAAATACACTCTCATAATAATATCAACTGAAACAGAAGGTATTTGAAGAAATACCTGTGATCATTTTGATCATACGTCTCCTGTTTTCTGCAGTCTGTTCGGCCACACTGAGGAGGAGTACATTCCAGATGCAGAGAGCGTCTATCTGCACAGGCAGCAGCATCATCAGCCCCAGGCCTGCACCCTTGCTCAGTGCTTCCAGCTCTACACTAAAGAGGAGCAGGTACAAACCAGCAGACAAAAAATGCTTTCACTCAGTAGTTTTCCATGAAAAACAATATAACCTAAATTTGCCTTGGCAATAGCAGTTTGAAAAAAGAAAAAAAAAAACATCCCTACTTTTCTTTTTGTTTTTGTTTTGCAGTTTAAAAATTTCTCCAGACATCCAAAAGCTATTCTGTTCTCACAGTTTAACGGCATGTAACTGCTAATGCTATGTTTCAGATAGACTAAAAATCCTAAACTTCGTCAAATGCCTCCATTGTGGTTTAACTTGCCTCCAACTGCTCTGGTGGAAAGTAGAGAAAAGGGTGGAAACGTGGGCCTCATCCTGTGTGGAGCTTATTTTAAAAGCAGTGTGGTTGAAGCTTGTTCTTCTTTTTGGACTGCGTGCCTGTGTGTGTGTGTGGGCGTGTGTGTGTGTGTGTGTGTGTGTGTGTGTGTGTGTGTGTGTGTGTGTGTGTGTTTTAGCTGGCTCCAGACGATGCCTGGCGCTGTCCCCACTGCAAGCAGCTGCAGCAGGGCCGGATAAAGCTCAGCTTGTGGACGCTGCCGGATGTGCTTATACTGCATCTCAAGAGGTTTCGACAGGTATTTGAGCTTAAGCGATTACTAAATAAACTTAAAACAGTCTTTCAAGCATATAATCGCATCCTAATGAATTTAAAAATGATTTAAAAACACAATTTATTTCAGTAATTAATTACATTTACTCATGGTTATCTTGATGGCTTGCAGATAGTTCAAACTAAAAATTGAGTGTCCCAGAAAATTAAAATGTTCCAAAAAAAATAAAAAATCTATATAAAAGGATTTGTTTTATCTGAAGGTTTTCTGTTGTCTACTCGGGTATAGACAAGACTGCTGATTTGTCAGTAGTTTTCAGTTATTGATACCCTCTGTTTAGAGGAGCATAAGCCATGAAAGTCATTGCTGTGGAAGTTGGTTGTTGATGCATATTAGTGGTTATTAAAACAAAATTTAACAGAAATAAATGTTTGAAATATGTCACTTTGTTTAATTAATCTCTATATTACACAAGTCACACTTTTTAAAATAGATTTTTGAAAAAACAAAAGAAAAAAAAAAAACGTTTCAATCTATCCTGCTTCTGGATCTCGATCGGTTTCTGAATTCAGGAAGGAGACCGGAGGGTGAAGATGCAGAACATGGTGAGGTTCCCACTGATGGGGATGGATATGGCACCGCATGTGGTCAAGAGAAGCCAGAGCAGCTGGAGTTTACCGTCTCACTGGTCGCCATGGAGACGTTCCTATGGCCTTGGAAGGAACCCGGATGACTACCTTTATGACCTGTATGCTGTTTGCAACCATCATGGCAATATGCATGGAGGACACTACACTGGTGATGCACTTAGTTGTAGCGCTTTTAAACAATGTTCATATTTCAAGATCCAAATGAATGGGTTTGATTGTTAATTTGAACCCGTTTTATTCTTGGTCTGTGTTCTCAGCTTACTGCAAAAACTCTGTTGATGGTCAGTGGTACTGCTTCGACGACAGTGAGGTGACACCAATTTCTGACGATGCTGTGTGTCAGCAAACGGCCTACATACTGTTTTATCAGAGAAGAACCACAATTCCCTCTTGGTCTGCCAACAGCTCTGTTGCTGGTCAGCATCCTTTATATACTGTTTGCATGCAGACTTGACCCAATGATCATGTTTTGACAAAATTACCTGAGAACTCTCTTTGTGCCGGAGCTTAAGTTTTGATCTGTGGCTGAATCCCCCCCTCGTCTGTCACACAGGCTCTACTAGCTCATCACTGTGCGACCACTGGATCAATAGGTTACCTGGAAGCAGGCCTGCCAGTTTGGCCTCTGGAGCTTCATCCAGACGTACCTCGCTTGCTTCACTGGCTGAGTCGGTGGAGTTTCCTGCAGAACGTAATGAGGATGATGGTGAGGATAGACCTTCATTTATAGTGTTTGAAATTGCGCGGGAAGTGGTCATTTCAACCACATTCATCTGACTGTTTTTTCCCATGTTCATTTTGAGTGACTCACAAAGCTAAAGAAGCCTACAACCAGAAATGAACTGTCTGTTATGATTTATGTCCATGTCAGTTTATTGATTCAGTTGTCAACCACAATTTTTATGAGTTGCGAAACTTGTTTTTGTGTCCGTTATTACTAGATCGCCTCAATTTAATATTATCATGTCCTACTTTTGTAAACTCCATATTATTCTGATATTAGAAGTGGACATTTACTGTATTGTTTATCACTTATGAAAATTTCTTATCATGATAAAAATTTTGATTTATTGTTGTCTTGATAAATTTCTATTAATGATATAAAAAAAATCCAATACTAACATTACCAGGAATGTTATTTTTACTATTTTCTCCACTGTTCCACAAAAATCAGTAAATTTGAAAATTAGATTAAATATAGTTACTTTGCAATTACATTTCCCATTGAAGAAGCCAATTTAAAACGGGAACATTTTTCAAGAATAGTATTTGTGTTTGTGACGCTGTGATTGCTGAGCCATACAGTTACTTATTAAAGACATAATACATAGTTTTTCATCATCACTTTTATTATCACAATAGTACCACAAAATATTGTGATAAAATTCGAAGTCCATATTGCCCACCCCAGTTCGATGTTTGCTCATTTAGTTTAAGGAAAAACTAAAATCTTTTTCGCTTAACAACAAAAGAATCTCTAAAACCTTTGCTGTTTTTAGGAGGATTTTCAGTCCGCCCATTTGTGAGAAGCATCCAGCGACAGAGCTTGTCCTCAAGGTCATCTATTGCCAGCCCTTTGGCCTTCAGCGACAGTGGAATGAAGCCGTCTTGGTCTCTCTCTGCCAAGCTCCAGATGAGATCCAACTCACCCTCACGCTTCTCCTTAGACTCTCGGTGTTCTCCTCCTCTGGAGAGGATAGGAGAGGCAGGCGACGATAAGGTATCCACGTCCTGTTTTGGCAGCTACAGTCGACATGAACGGTACTTTGGCAGCAGGACTCCATTGTCTATGATGGAAAGCAACTTCGGTGAAGACAGCAATAAAAGGTTCCTAGACATGATGTACTGCAGGGCTCCCACCCCAGTGGAAAAGAAGAGCAACAAAAGCGACACAACTGAAAACAACAATGAGATCACAGCTATAGACCAAAACATACAACCCACTCAAGCAACCCCCTCCAAAGAGCAAAAAAGAAAAAGTAGCATTGGAGGATTCACCCTGAAGTCCGAGAGCACAGGTTCCATCAAGAGCTCCAGCAAAACAGAGTTGGAGAAGACCTCCAAAAAACGTCTGTGCTCAATCAATAAGAACCCAGCCTCTGACACGTCTTCCAGTTCACCGGCAAAAGGCAAGAAGCTGAGCAGCACGAAGGACAAGACTGCAAACACAAAGAAAAGCACCTTGACACCCAGTGGAACTCCCTCTAAAATGAAGGAAGCGAATAAAACTCCCGAGGCTACTCCACAACATAAACCTTCCCTCTGCTCCACACCTCAGTCTTCAGCTTCTCCCTCTCCAACTGCGAAGAAGAACTCGAGCATTACTGAGAAAGGCTCGACGAGCTGCCGGAAACGACTGATGGAAAGGAGTTTCAGCAGAGATTCTATGCACACCAGCCCCCTCGTTGACAGCCATCGGAGCAGCTGTGTGTCCCGTAGTTCAATTCCCAAGAATGGGGACAGCAGTCGGCTTGAGAGGAGGTCTGTAAGGAGTTCCAGCAGCAGTTCTTCAGTCACTAGCCTGCGCTCACCAAGTGTATCCACCAGAGACCTGCAGCGGAGTAGCAAATCAGAGGAAAAAGGCTTGTCTTTCTTCAAGAGTGCCCTCCGACAAAGAGAAAGTCGCCGGTCGGCCGATTTAGGAAAAAGCGCATTGCTTACCAAAAAGGCTTCGGAGAGGACATGCAAGCAGAACGGACAAGCTAAGGAAGTAGACGGTGACGATCAGAAGACTGGAGACGCAGGGTCCTCGAAAACATCTAAAGAAACTCTGGGAGGCGAGTCAAACTCAGACAAGCAGGAGTCTTCCAAGCCCCCCAGCTCTCTTAGTCGTACTCTACTAGGAAAGTCCAAGTCTTCCTCATCCGATGTAAGTAGCAAGTCTCGTACAGATGGGAAAAAACCTCTAGAAAAGATGGCATCTTCTCGAAAGCTGTCATCAAGCATGCAATCTCCTGCTCGAACAACACAGAGGCCTCAGTGATACATCGGTGGTAGTAATGAGAAATAGAACAATGCAGCTATTTACGTTGTGCCTAGGTTTCAGTTAGCATCAGATGTGTTTGAGACACACTTTTTGGTGTTATGGTTTTGTACATCAGCCAAAGATTTCTTACCATACGAAATCTTTGGCTTTGAAATTTCCCTGTTTAAGATATTTCTTTTTTGTTTTTAATTAAAGTAAAAGCATTCTGTCGTCTGCATATACGAGTTCATGGCACTTGCCTGACATGCTAACAGTATTTTTCCAGCCTTTCGAATGTCTTCTGTAAATATTAAAAAGTCAGTGGCAAAGAAAACAAAACCATGACATCAAAATTAGCCTCTGGTACCAATTTCCAGTTATTTCATCGTTCGGAAAACACGTTTTAAGAGTTTCATTCTGAAATAATTCTTGAAAAATTTTATTTTTGGCGAATTGCTTTGAGCCTCTTGCTTTTCTCACCTCTCTTCATGTTGTCTACACATTTATTAATATAAATCTTAAGTTGTTTAATTGAAAGCAGTTGAGGAAAATGCATGCCATATTTACTTGTAAAGATTCACTAACATTCTTGAAAGCTTTTGGCATTGATGCATAGGAGCAACAACAAATGAGTCTTTATTTTGAATATTAAAAAATAAGATTAAAGTGAATGATGGCTTTAGACCAAAACCGGAAATATTAAAAATTGCTCTATGAAAGGAGTTTTGCAAAAGTTTGAAACTTTTGTTTGTTTTTATAGAATGCTGTTTTGATAAAAAGTTTTTTTTAAAGTAAAAATGTATTTAGGTTCCGATGGGGAAAAAAAAATATAAAAAATTGGATGTTTTGAAAGGAAAACCCTTTAAAATTAAAGTTTATAAATATATATTGATGTATCTATAAAACTGTAGACAACATAAATTGTATCTGTTTTCCCCCCTCTATGAGCAAGATAAGAAATGATCTTAAGCGCCTTTTAATGCTGCACATGGAACAAAATATTGCCTTTTGGCAAAATAGTCTTTTACTGTAAGTGTCACCTATAGGAATGTTGTTCAATAGCACTTTGTATAGATAAAAACAGGAAAATTATTATATAATAGTTGGTTACATATTATAGGGTGTATTGTAAAGTAGAGTAAGCAGCCTTAGACTTTAAATGGTAAAAGGGTACATTCATCTCAATGTTACAGGGGTCACCCTACCATAAGAAATATCTCATTTAATACACCTGGTGCTGTAACAGACCACTGCTTCAGTAGCACTGACAGGTTTTTTTTCTTTTAAATAATGACGTTAAGAAGTGTAACCGCAATTTTAACGAGTTACAGAGTTGTTGGTGTTTGTATCATAACCTTTGGTACCTCATTCAAGATACTATCTTTGATAAATAACATTTTGTCTTCTGAAGACTGAATCGCATTATTGGTAATGAGCCATTTACTTAGCTAAATAACTCAGCAGATGTTGCCTGGGACAATGTGTGGACATGAATGCTGAACTTTCTGATCCAATCTACCAGACATTGCATGACAGTTTTACTTTATAAACAATAGAAGGAAAGTAATGTGCAAGTCAGGAGCCTGTCGTCAGGCTTGTTTTAGACTGTAACTGTAGCTTTGTCATTGTAAAGCTGTGCCACCTCAACTGGCAATACTCACACATCAGAAACCAGCAGAGACTTTGTTTTCAAAGATTTAAATGTCTGTACAGGATCAGAACTTAAATCTCAAATAGTTTTTTTTTTTTTACTTTAGATATGCAGGAATCTGTTTCCGTAGCATTTGTCAAGTTTACAATGGTTCTCGGGTTGTTTGAGGAAATGCCACCTTATTGAACCTGACTGCCTTATTTAAATGGTCTGTATGGAATGTGTCTGTCAAAATGTGACTTACTTGGCTTTATAGATCTATCAAAAGTCTCTCTAACCCTGAATAGTTATTTGCCAATCTTAAGTTTTAAAATAACTGTTGAGCGATGCACCAACATCAGGTTGGAAAGTGTATAATTCTCCATCTAAACTGGCAAATAAAATGATTGAATGAAATGCATTGTTCACATGATAGGCAGGATCTATCAGTAATAATGTGTCATAAAACAAAGTAAGTAGGCCTGAATCTAAAAACTAGACACACCTACCAATGAAACACAACAAACATGTTTAATTATGTTTTTATGTTACAGTCACACATTGGGATATGACATCATCCTCGCTTGATGCCCGCTATAATAGCTAATTTCTGTCACAGACCATAAAAATAAAAGGCAGCATGTTTAGATTATGTGGTGTTGCTGTAGCTGCTCTATTTACCTAATCTATCAGGAACATGTGCATGGCACTCGAATCAGAGGAGACTTTTTTTAAATTATTATTATTCATTTTGCTTTGTCTTTCTGTAAAGTCTGTAACTTTTGGTGTACATTTCAGAAATGGCTCATTCCATCCTTCATGTTTGTGTTTCCATGTCCAAGTTCATGTAGCCATAAAGCGGTGTGATGCCCTTTTACTTACAAAGGTTTTTTATATTTTCTATTAGGGTTGGAGGTCGCTGTTAGACAATCTGATAAAAAAATTAAAAATAAAAAAATAAAATGTTAATACTTTATTAAGAATATGTAAATATAAATCATCTCTTTTGGGCACATCATCTTCCTAAAACATTCTAGAGTTTTTGGGACCCTGTAAAGACAGGTGGTACGTTCCACTGTTTTCCCATCTGTTTTTATCACCACTACATTTCTGACAGTTTCTTTAAACATGCAAAAATACTTAGAGATCTGACTGATTAGGACTTATAGTTTAGTATTAAACGTCAGGCAGCTAACTCTTTGGAAATTGGGCAGGTTTTCAGCTGAGATGAAACTTAGTGAATTGAATTGTTACTGAAAGATGACGGTTATTTCTCTAATTCAGTTTAAAAAGAACCGTTAATTCTATTGACTAAGGCTTACAGCTAATAAAGTCAAAATTCAGTTTCTCATTAAGATACTGCACTCTTTTGCTGCAATCTGAGACCTTAATTTTCTAATTGTCCGGATACAGATGTGTGCGATGAGTATTTATGCTCCGGTGCTAGCTGCACGCCACACATTGTGATTCTGCCCACAACAAATCAGTGACCTTTTGATTCACAGTCCTCTCAAAGCCACGGTTACCTTTCTTGATTCTGCCATATTTACTACCACTCTTTTTTTCTTCCACTCAACTTTCTTTTGGTATGAGACAAAGCACTGTGCGAACAGGCAGCTTCCATGATGGTGACTTTTTGTGGCTGATGCACAAAATAGAAATTGACAACGGCTGTTGTAAAGCAGTTGTCCCTAATAAGACGACACACCTGTAGTAAAAACTCATTTTAATGGTCCTGTGTGGTATTTATATTTTTTTGAGAAACTGAATTTATGGTTTCCATTAGCTGTAATCCAGAATCACCTAGGTAACAAAAATAAACACCTGAAATATATCACTCAGTGGGTAGTTTGTATATTTCAGTTGAATGGCTGAAATAATGTTTCGATTTTTAAATTTACACATCAAAGCTGCTTCCAAATGTTCAAGAGAGATAAAGATTGTGCTAAAGCAAACAAATACAATTTGGGATTTACTTGCTATAATTTTAATATCCATATGCTGAGATTGAAAAAAAAAGTATAAAAATGTGCACAATCAAAGAGTTAACCAGTTCTCATTCCAGTTGAAAACATTAAAGCTGAATCACAATCTTCACATGAATCTTCTTTGTCTACCCTTCTGCACTGCAGTGCATGTCTGTCTTTTTTTTTTTTTTTTTCATTTTTCCTTTGCCGTTTCCTGTAAACTTGTCATTGTACAGAGCAGAATGATTAATGAATGCAGTGTTGCATGAAAACACTAATGCATGTATTTTAAACCAACTATGCAAGAGTCTGCAGCTGTGTAACATAGATTGCAATGCAATATTATAATTGCAATAGATTGCTGGTATATCCCGTTGCTTTATTTGCACACCTCTACGATATTTCCGAATTATCCAACACAGAATATTTCATTTTTGCTGTAAAGTGTTTCGAGTCATCTTAATTTCCTCCATGTTGACTTTCTCTAATCTTTTTGGGTGCTCCCACTAGTCTGGTGGGTTTTTTTTGTTGTTTTTTTTGTCATTGTCGTTTCACATTTACCGTTGCACACCAGCAGAGATAATACTATGGATGTGAAAAATCTATATGTGATTACTATGTCGACTCATTATCTATGACTGTATTTTGTGAAAGCCTTTCATTAGTTTACTTCAGTGGGGGTAAAAAAAAAAGTGTGAACCCCTGTTGCCATTTTCTCAGCTGCATCCAAGGTGTGGTCAGTCTTGAATATATATAATAAAAAAATATTAACGTAGCTACATGCAATAAATAGAGATAGCAAATTTAGTTTTGTAATACAGTACATGAATATGACATTATTTTTTTTAGTTTCATATTTATCAGACAGTCATTTCAGTCGTGCTGATTTTATTTTTTATTATTGATTCACATTTTTTAAAAGGCAGTTTTACAAATGACTCTTTTTTTCTTTTTTTTTTTTCATGGCTTGTGAACTTTTGTTAATTGAATATTTAGCCAGCCACGCTGCAGGAGCAAACATCTCAAAGTAGCATGTTACATATTCCAATATGCATTTTGCTGCTAAACTGAAGCCGCATTGAACCTGGAAACTAAAGTAGCTGCATTTTTACGATTGAGTTGCACACTTCATTTCTGCAGGTTCTGTGGCACTTCAAATATATTCCCTCAAGTACAGCTTCGAAGTTTTAAAGACTTGCAGTGCTTTAAAGTGGGTTTTCGAGGCATTTTTCAAATGTAAGCACTACAAATGTACTAAAACTGTTTGCTAGCCTTAAGCAGTCACATGTAATGGTTATGTATCTTTGGATGATGCAGAATTTAGAAAGCTGTGTAATGAAATGTCTTGAGTGTCATTTTTTTTTTCTTTATTGTTAAGCTAGAAAATCATTCTGGATACACAGAATGTCCTTTTCATTATTTTTTTTTTACTTTTATATAATCCACAAGCTGTTTTGTAAAATTAAATATGTTGCAAATGGTTACTTTTTAAGTTTGAGAATAGTTTATTCCTTTTTATCAGATCGACAGCTGCATTTTCTGATTCTTATTATACATTACAGCCTCTATTCCACAATATGCCTGTGCATTTTTTTT